AAACTAAATACTTCACGAGTTTATCAAATATATTACAAATCTCAACGTATAACAGTAAACTACGAATAATTATTATCAACAACAAAAAAAAGAATTATACGACAATGATCAAACCTAAATTAACAATAGACATCCTGAAAACAAAAAAGTATTGAATAGTATGAAAGAGAAATAGCAATTAAGTGTACGAGGTATTAGAATATTGGTCAATATATATTTACTGTGAGAGTTAAGAGACCAATACAGGGCCGAGTTTGGTAAAGTTGGCTGAGATCCATAGTCACGTCTAAGTATTTCGAGTTCAAGGCCATCGTCTCTGATGGAGAGTCGCATGTCCAAGGAAGGAACGACGATGTATCGGCGTTCGGCCACATGGTGAATTAAGGGTCAGCCCATTACCGATTTGACCTCGGATGACCCGGCAGTGTATACGGAGCTGCTTGCGTGCCGCTTGATTCAATTAACCCTACGACACACAAACACGCACGCATACACGCGGTTATATACTATTCGTATATATGATAAACGTCAGTGCACGTGTGCGATTCGTTTGAAAGCTCAGACCGATCTCAAATTAATCGTTTCAGATCTTATTTATTTTTCTTATTATTCACTACCCTAACCTAACCTTCATTCATTCATTCGATATTCCGTGAAATTCGATTAAAGTGTAGTTAGCAAAGTAAGAACCTTCTTCATATATAAATCACGAAACTTCACTTAATTAACATGTTACATATATATTTACACGTTATTCGTGCCTAACAAGGTGCGGTCAGGTCTTAACTACGATTAAGAAACCCTTTTCGTTAATTATCATACCTGAAATATGTGAGAACCATTATCAAACTCATTCATCCTAATCTCACTTTATATTTGTTTTTATTTATGATTGATTTGTTTTCTATTCTCTCTTTCTTTCTTTAGCCATTACTTATTTTTTTTTATTTTAATCAATGTATTGTAGAAAAAAAAAACAAAGATTGATTATAATTTAAATTACAATTTCTTTTTTTTTTTAAAACAAATCGCGTTTTATATGTATTTTTAATCGATTTTTTTTCTACTCGTCATAAATAAATACTTTGAAGGATTTATTTTTCGATCGAATATTATTATTCGAATGAGAATTGTACTAAGAGAGACACGATGAAACAACCCTTTGGTTAAGAACAAAAAAAAAAATTAAAAAGAAAAGAAAAGGGCCGCCGATCTCGTAGTACCTTTAAACTACTTTTGACAGTATCGTGTTTCTCCCTCGTTCATATTCGTTCGTTCCCTTTCTTCGGCCGAGATTAACGCACTACAAGTGGACCTCTCGACTTCTATCGCATCAACGCATTTGATAAGAGGCGAGGTTACCGGGTGACCAGTCAACAGATGCGGCCAATTGCTCGTACTAATGTCATTCCGTCCGTTGAAAGCTAACTCGAGATGTTATATACTAAACAACATCTATGTTCGTTACCGTAAACATCAACTATCATTTGTTTGCCTAAAAAGTTACTTATCTACAAATAAAAAATCAATTTGCAAATTATTCGACAA